TCGACGCTCGCGAAGACTGCTTCAACTTGCAATCGACCGACCCGAACAAACCTTCGATTGGGTTCGTGTGCTCGGCGCCGTCTAACGAGCTGCACGAGCAGTGGGTGTCGACCATCAGAGACATCTTGCAGACGCAAAAGGACTTCCTGAAGGCCATTCAATCGCCCATCGCGTACCAAAAAGAGCTGACGAGAGAAGCGTGAGTATGCCTTGAGCTTGAGTTGATTTCACTTTGATTATTTCGGATTCGGAGAGAGACTGTTTTAAGAACTAACCGGTTGTGATTTTTGTTATGCAAATTAAGAGGAAACGGGGACATAATACTGTTACACAAAAAAATCATTTTACTTAAATTATTTTTTATTGTAACAGTATTTCCCCTAATTGTTTCAATAGTTTTTTAACCGACTTGGTTATATCTCAGTTAATAAAAAACCTATTTTGGTAAAATTTGAGACAAGCATACTATAATACATCATCTATATGCTGGCACAGATAAAACACATGTAGGACATTCCATATTAAAAATAATGTCACATATATGTTTCAGTATTATAATATGCAAAAATTATCAAATATTAAAGACTATTGCAACAGTGATTATGTTGCTTATCAAAACCATAGAAAGCTTTCATGACATCCTGCTTGTGATCTGATTTATGGTGATGGGACTAATTTATTTAAAAATAAATTTTTTAAACTATTTTATTCTGTACGGTGCAATTTTGGTTGAAAGTGTAAGGATATTTTGATTTTCTTATTTCCCATTTGCTAGGAATTCTATATGTACACCTGGTAAGATAGTCACAAAAAGTTTTGATATTGTCAATTTCAAAAGAAAAAAGTATTTTATAGAATTTTTGAATAAAAGATTTTAATTTTAATTTATTTTTAACCAGACCTTGTGTGGGGAGAAAACGTGCTGATAATATGGCCCCGATTTTGTCAACAGTCCCTGGATTGGGTTTCCACTTTTTAATTATTCGTTTTACGAATAAATCAATATTAACAAAAACTCCTGCTTTTTTTAAAATAAGATTTCCATAAAAATATTAATTGAATCGTAAACTAGGGTAATTCGTTTTAAACAACACGGCTGAAACTGTAAGGGCATTTTTTTCTAGATATGTTCGTCAATATTTTGCTTGGGAAGTGACAAAAAATAAATGTTCCTTCAAACGAATCACCTCAGAGATTAAGAAAACGTAACATTATTTAAAAAAGAAAAGTATCCTGAGTTTTACGAAAAAGTTAATTCTTCATAACAACTCCTAATTGTTTCCCATAAAAAAATGTATATCAAATGTAAAGGGTGCTCAAAAATTAAGAAAAAATAAAAATCCATTCAAGCATTCCTATGGGAATTTTATTTTTGAACCAAGCAGGAGTTTTTACAAAGAGTACATTTTGTATCTATTAACAACCTGATCTGGGGACACCTGTTAACTCTAAATATACCAACCAGAGTTAATAAAATAAGACATATTTTTAACTTACCTTGTTTTAAATCTTTTAAAACTAGATATATTTTCTTACGAAATAGACTGTAGTAAAAGTGACTATTTTACAAACAAAGGCACATCATTTATTTTAAGGCCTTTTGAAGCCTGAAATATTGCAGAAATTCTAATAGAACTAATAATCAAAAAACCCTCCACAGCAAATATATGCATTTCAAAAAAGACAATAACAATCTAAATATTTGATTTTCTTACGTTTATATCAAAAATTTGTTGTACCTTTTAAATTTCTGCAATATTTTACCGTTTTCTTGCTCAAACTAAAAACTTTCTTAAATCCTGCTCATTCGTTTTGTTGTATTTATTAAATGAACAAAAAAAAGTGCAAATATTTTCTGTACCAACGTAGTTTTTATTAAACGGGCAGAACTCGCTGTCGATAATTTTATATGGGCCATTCCACCTTGCTACTTTCATAAATTAGAAACCTAAACACTACCCAGTAGAAGTTTTATGATATAATAAGCATGCTTTCAACAAAATTATTAACATTTATTTCGGCCCATTGTTCACTGGTAATGATTTATTTAACGGGTTCATTTTTGTAACACTTTTATTCAAATTGAATACTCTTTCTTGTAAAAACTTCACAAGTGAGATAATATATGTTATATTGGTTGTATTATTGTATTAATTTTAAGTTGATTGTGTACATAGACATGTATGTTTGTATATAAATATTATATTCATTATTAAGTGATGGAATAAAATTTTCAATAGAATAAAATATGAAATTATATCATGGTTTTCATTTAACTCCTGTATTTACTAAAAACCTCTTTTAACTTTAGTTCTTTGCATTTTTTCTTTTCTTTTTAATTTGTTTGCTGCATTTTTCACTAACAGTATTTTGATTTTATTTTTTTTTCTTTGACACGTTTTTTTATACAGGGTGAGCTATATCTCCATGACATATTTTAGGTAGCAAAAATACTTTATGAAGAATGAAAAACTTTTATGGTGGGACAGTGGTTCCAAATAAAACGCTGGTTCCAAATTACGACATTCTTTTAAAATTTCCGGAAACATTGAGCCGGCAGAAAAAAATTGTTTTTTTCAGAAAAAAAAACGGAGAAAGGGAAATTTTTAGAAAAATTTATTTTTGCATTTTTTTCATTTTATTCAAAGGGTAATACGAAAAAATGCAAAAGTCAATTTTTCTGAAAATTTACAAATTTTTACGGATGCTATCCGTACACTGATATCGAAAAAAAGTGATTTTTCGATGCTGAATATAATCATAATATTATGATTATAATTATTATTACTTTTATTTTAATTCAGTAAGAATATTCTACCGGGTCGAAAAAAAACATATTCGGTTCTGTATTAACATAATTTTCGGTTTATTTCAACACTTCAATTTATAAAATTATAATTTTTATATACAGTGCTACTCACCCCTGTAAAATGTTTATTTATTGTGCGATTTTAACCGAATTTGTTTTAAAGTGTAGATCTTGATAAACTGTATTTTTGGAGCAAAAAACGCCATATTTGTACAAAATATTCATATTAGCTATATTTAAACAATATCTAAGCACGGCACTGGATTCACCACCCCTCAAAACGTCCCTTTACTAAATTTTATTGAAACATTTTAAGTAGAAAAATGCACAATAATACCTACAAAAATTTATTCTGTCCAGTTATCCATGACAAAAACATTGAAATAAAATTAAACTTATAGTAGGTACCTAATAGTAGTTTAATTTTATTTCAATGTGTTTTTCATGAATAACTTGACAGAATAATTGTTTGTAGTTATTATCAATAATTACTACAAAAAATTATTCTGTCAAGTTATTCATGAAAAACACATTGAAATAAAATTAAACTACTATTACTATAAGTTTAATTTTATTTCAATGTTTTTGTCATGGATAACTGGACAGAATAAATTTTTGTAGGTATTATTGTGCATTTTTCTACTTAAAATTTTTCAATAAAATTTAATTTAGGGTCGTTTTGAGGGATGGTAAATCCAGTGCCGTGCTTAGATTTTGTTTAAAAAAATCGCTAATATAAATTCTTAAAAATTTACTCTTATAAACTGACATAATATTTCTTGGACTTCGTAAAAATATGGCGGTTTTTCTCTAAAAAAAAACGCTGAAACACGTTAACTTTTATATTTTTCTAGCAATATTTTAGCCTATGTAGTTGTTCCAAAATCTTCCGCGTGGCGGCGCCCCAATCAAAGTAAGGTTTTTTTTAAATTACAACCCTTTATTTTTGTTGCATTTTTGTATAGCTACCGTTGTCCTGAGTACATTGATATGCTACATGTGGAGGGTTACATAAGAAATTTTTTGAGAAAAGTAGGTTTTTGCCGCTGATTGAGATTTTGGTTTTGACGAACTTATTCGCTGTTACGGGGCACCACCACACTATGCATTGCTAGTAAGAGATTATTTAAATCAGGTCTTTCCCAATCGCTGGATAGGTCGAAGGGGTCAAATTGAGTGGCCAGCGCGATCACCCGATTTGAACCCTTTAGACTTCTTTTTATGGGGACATCTTAAAAACCGCGTCTATGTAAACAGCCCTTAAAATTTGGACGACCTAAGACACCGCATTCAAGCCGAGATCCAGATGATCACTCCAGCGGTACTGGCAAACGTACAACGCTCTTTTGTAGACAGGCTGGCCCACTGCCAAATAGTTTACGGTGAACACTTTGAGCAACTGCTCTGATTGGCTTTCCAAAAAAGATTAAGCAACGCATATATTGTATTTAAGTTTGACAAAATACCAAAATCTCATTCGGCGGCAAAAACCTGCTTTTCTCAAAAATTTTCTTATGTAACTCTCCAGATGTGGCACATCAATGTAATCAGGACAACGGTAGCTATCCAAAAATGCAACAAAATTAAAGGGTTGCAATTAAAAAAAAACTGACTTTGATTGTGGCGCCGCCACGCGGCAGAATTTGGAACAACTACATATGCCAAAATATTGCTAGACAAATCAGCGTTTTTAAAAAAAATTTACTGTTTTTAAAATAATCTCATGTTCCGGGACTTTACGGACACACTGTATAAACCATTCATTATTTTGTAAATGGATATTTTTTGCAAAAAGATCCAACCTTCAGTTTATTTGACGTTTACGTTTATTTTAATTTAATTTAGGTTTATTTTCTTAAATTATTTTAATTCAATGTTTAGTTTTTTTCTGTAAGGATATTTTTTTTAATTAAAATAATGTTAAGTTGTTGATGCAAGAATTTTTCAAAAGTGTACCTATATTTTCCAATTAAAAATTGTGTATTTCTTTTCCAGAAAAGACAATTTTTCCAAGGTCTTAAAAAACGGAAAAACGCTATTTTTCCGACACTTTAAAACTCTAGTTATGTCTCCTCAAACATAAAAAATTTACAATTTTCTCCAAAAAGTATTATTGCCCAAACTATGTCATGAACGTTTGTTTCACCCCGTATTTTATTATTTTATTTCATTTTTATTATTATTTATCAGTTCGGATAACCCGTCTTGGGACCACTCGTACCAACAACGTAAAACCATAAACCTGCCAATACAAAACGCGGATAACGAAGCGTCGAATTCGACAAAACCTCAGAGAAAAACCGTCCAGTATATCCACAAGGCAAACACGATAGGGATACCGTCGGAAAGCGACATTACCGACGCGTCGGGAAATAAAAATTCGAACAAGACGAGACTGCACTTTTTGGGCAACATTCGCAATCCCTTGAAGTCGAAAAACAAGTCCGATCCCGGGGTCATGGACTCGGGGAAGGACCAGGACAAGAACGACATCTGCCGGCGGTGGTCGGAAGCCAACTCCAATAACACCACCGTAAGTACCTTATATTTTGCTTTAAAACGTCGGGTGGTTACTGCACGCTGTTTCACTTTTGAATCGTGAATGTATTAAACGTAAAAATATAAAACAATTTTTGAAATTTATATTTTTTATTATGTCTAGGCATAATAATAATTATTTTTTATGATACATTGTAATAAGAATTTTTTGTACCCAAAGAATATTTTAAAACATCTTACATAATATTTTATTAGTTGAATTTTTCTTTATTATTTTAGTTTAAAATTTATTGGTACTGGAATTATTGCGAGACTAAAAACATTGTTAAACAATTTAAGTATTAATCTTTTAAATATGTTCAGAGCTGGGAAAGTTACTTCTGAAAAGTATCTAGTTAAACAAAATAACTTAGTGACCTCTGGTAACTAGATACTTTGAGTTAAAAGTATCTTTAGTCACAAGATACTTTAAAAAGTATCTAAGATACTTTTGAGTAACTAAGATACTTTTAAGTAACTAAGATACTTGAGAGCAACTAAGTTACTTTTAAGTTTGAATAAAAATAATAAAATTATAAAAGTTCACCAAGTTGAAGGTTAAGTAATCATTCTGGAATTCCCCCAATTTTCTCCAAGAAAGTATCTAAATTACACTAAAAAGTATCTAAGTTACTTTAAAAAGTATCTTAGTTACTTTAAAAAGTATCTTAGTTACTTTACCAAGTAACTTAGATACTTTTTAAGTTGCAAGATACTAAGTTAAAGATACTTCCAGTCCAATATAAAAAGTATCTTAAGTTACTTTTAAGTATCTTTTTTATAAAAGTTGTTAAATTATTTTCTTAATGCAATTTCGCGCATACTAAAAATCATGAAGTTAGGCAACCAACTGTACATACTTTAACAGCGGCCATTTTTATGCTGTTTACAATTCTTGTGCTTCGGGTTTTCGCTGTTTATACAGATTAATAATAGTTTTCAACGTTGTGTTTCTTACAGGCACTTGTAAGCCTTAAAAGAGGCCTTAAAGTGATAAGAGCAACCATTTTACTCCTATTTTATAGAAAATAAACCTAATTTTTTCAGGGCTGTCATTAAACTATCAAATGTAATTTTTAAGGTTAATTTGTGGTTTTTATTAAATTAATCTTAAAATTGACATTTGAAAGTTTGATGACAGTCCTGATGGAATAAGGTTTATTTTTTACAAAAGAGAGTAAAATGGTTGTCCTTAGCACTTTATTTTCGTAACATGACGTCCAAAACGTTTTTTTTTAATCTGAATAAACAGCACAAACCCAAAGCTCAAGAATTGTAATAGTATATTATAAAGTGGCCAGATTCTGTCAACAAAATAGGGGGACATTTTGTATGAATTTACCTTAATTACAAAATTGACACAAGGTGTAAAATTGTAAATTTGACTTTACTTAATTATTGTTGATTGTGTCATTTTTCTAATTAAGGTTAATTTACACAAAATGTCCCCCTATTTTTTGACAGAATCTGGTCACTAGTATATTATGTATCAAGTTTGATAAATGCCATTTTAGTCACAAATTTAATTAATATTTTTTTGCGATTAAAAAGTAAAACAGGTGGTCGATAATGTGCGGTTTTGAACAAATTAAAACTTTAAACACTTTTTATCAAAGTATACATCGGAAATCTTTTTATACAAATACCATCTTAGATGTTAAAAAATGATAATTTATAGTTATTTGTTATAATTTGGACCACCCGATGGTATTTAGATTCTTTATGAAGGTAGTTATTCTTAAACACATATTTTTTAATTAATTATTTTTTATAGAAAATTTAAAATTCTTTTTCAATTAAAATGTCTTAATTTTCAATCAAAACTACTCAAAAGGTCTATTGCTTTTGCATAAAATTGATGTTTAAATTATAAAATGATAACATGGTGGCATAAAATTAAACCTATTTTATAATTATAATTTTTTTAAAACATTACAAAAAGTTTAATTTTTTGTCTACCATTGTTCCTACTGGCTGCTTGATCCATTCTGCTCTATTGGCATGTATATTTATATTAAATTTTCTCTTTAGGTAATATAACAAACAAAAAACTAGGATTAAGCTTGAAAAAGTACCCCCCAACTAAACTAACCATAGATGAAGGCTGTGAACCTGTTACTTTAGTTATTAAATAAGAGTATACACCTACAAAAATATAAATATTTATAAATATAATTTAGAAAATAAAATCGTTTGTTATGTAATGCGTTTTGAATGATTAAGAATGGATTATTATATGGGAATGCCACTCTGCAGTATTAATTTAAATGGTGAGCATGAATTTCCTTATTTCATGCACATTGTACATATTTAAGACAAATTTTCATCCATAACATCATTGTTTTTAGCTTTAATAACTATTTTATACTAAAACATCTAACCACATGCATTTTATGGGCTTTGGAAGTTTCAAATAGTATTTTTAATAGGGTTTACAACATTTAACCAACCAATGGTTTTTGATTTCCTGAATTCGAATCCAATCTCAGAATTAATGAATTACATCAGGGGTAAAAAAAAGAGTTTTGTTACATCATGAAATATGTTTTCCACAGAAATTGTTATTTTTAAATTTAGACAGTAACATTTTTCTGGTTAAATTAATTCCCTGGCTTTTTTCAGTTTTCCAGGTCTTTATAACCTCAAATAATAAAAAGCTGTAGATCACTTGTAGATTGGAATTTTTCGAAAACCTGTTGTGATGGAGCAATTCTGCGGTAGAATTCGAAATCTGGTTTCTGTCTGTACACTAGAGGTCAAAAATACGCTTTTTTCGAAATTAATTTGAGAATAGCAAAAATATTATTCTTTGGGTTAAAAAAATATTTAAAAAAATTGGGTCAACATCCAAATTAGTAGTAATAATTTTGTTTTACGCTATCTGTTTAATTTAATTGTCTACAAAAAAGGTCCTTATCAATTATAGCAAAATCATTTCAGTTTCAGAGATAATTGCAATTTTTTGGTAAATTTTGTTCTTAAATTTAATTGTCTACAAAAACCTTAATCAATTATCGCATAAATATTACAGTTTCAAAGATAATTTGGTAAATTCTTAAATTTAATTGTCTTCCAAAAAGGTCCTTATCAATTATCGCATAAATATTGCAGTTTCAGTGATAATTGCAATTTTTTGTTTGGTAAATTTTGTTCGTAAATGTCTACAAAAAAGGTCCTTATCTATTATCGCATAAATATTGCAGTTTCACTGATAATTGCGATTTTTACTTCAAATTGTAATTTTTTAACAAAACTTAAAACTCATCTTAAAAATAAATAAAAGGGTTTATAATATAATTTGTTAAAAGATTTAATTGTCCACATAATTATAAACTAATTCAAAATTCAATAGATATTTTTAATTCATCAATAAATGAAGTAAAGCAAGCATTTTTGCAGCTGTTGTGATGGTAGTATTTGTTATTGTTTTAATTTTTTTTTCTTAGGGTATAATGTTACATTATTGGGATTATTTTATATTTTTATATTATTGTTACTAGTATTAAGTCTCATCCTGTAAATGGTATTTAACTGTTGGATGTAAATTAAATTAAATAAATAAATAAATAAATAAATAAATAATGGTCCTTATGAATTATCGCATAAATAATGTAGTTTCAGTTTAATTGCTGTGTTGCTATCTGTTTAATTTAATTGTTTAAAAAAAAGTCCTTATCAATTATCGCAAAAATATTGCAGTTTTAGTGATAATCGCGATTTTTACTTCAAATTGTCATTTTATTGCATAAATATTACAGTTTTAGATATATGTAAATGCGATTTTTTGTTTGGTAAATTTTGTTCGTAAATTTAATTGTCTTCAAAAAAGGTCCCTATCAATTATCGCATAAATATTGCAGTTTCAGTTATAATTGCGATTTTTACTTCAAATTGTCATTTTTTAACAAAACTTATTTAAAAGTAAAAAAAAAGAGTTTATGATATAATTTAATATATCTACATAGAGGCCCTTATGAATTATCGCCTAAATAATGTAGTTTCAGAGATAATTGCGATGTTGCTATCTGTTTAATTTAATTGTCTTAAAAAAAGGTCCTTATCAATTATCGCAAAAATATTACAGTTTTAGATATAATTGCGATTTTTTGTTTGGTAAATTTTATTGGTAAATTTATTTGTCCACATAGAGGTCTAGTTTCAGAGATTCAATTATTATGTGAAATTTTTTTAACCAGAGATAATATTTTTTTATATATTTTGTTAGTAAATATTGTAGACTATTTCCCTCGTCTTAATTTCGACCAATCACAAACGCGCAATTTTGAATTACAAATGGTTTCTAGGTGGAAAAACTGTATGACAGCACCTGTCAGCAGTTTATTCGAGTTTACCCGCGGCAAAACTTGACAGCTGTTGTCAACAAAAATTGCAATTTATATTTTAATTCTTTACTGTTACTCATGAAATAGTCTTGTCAAATACCATTCGGGCATCTAATTTTTCCTGTGAAAAAAATCGAAAAAACACAATGCTAAGTAATATTTTTTAACAAAATGCATTCGTGCAGGTGCAAAAATCCTCCTCTTCGACTCGGATTTTTGTTGCCACCAGCACTCATGCTTCTTGTTAAAATATTGCTTAGCAACGTGTTTTTTCGATTTTTTTCGGAAAAATTAGATGCCCTTATGATATTACTTACGATAATCGCCCTTTTATTATAAAATGTAATTTAGTTTGTAGAGAATTTAATTTTGTAATAAATTATATTAAAAAAGTTTTGCTTAGAAATGACAATGAAAATTACATCGCAATTATCTCTGAAACTACATTATATAGGCGATAATTCATAAGGACCTTTATGTAGACAATTAAATTTTCCAACAAATTATATCAAAAACACTTTTTTTACTTTGAAGATTGGTTTTGTTAAAAAAAATACAATTTTAGGTCCTTTTAGTAGACAATTTAATTTCAGATAGCGTGAAAAAAAATATTTTGTTACTTTTAATTTTAAGTGCATTTTCTTTCCATAATTTTTTGCACCTCAAAAAATAATATTTTCGAAATTAATTTTAAAAAAAGCGGATATTTGACCCATTCTACTGTGCACCTATATTATCATTGGTGAAAACATTCTTAAGGGCATCTTGCATTTTTCTCCATTTAATAGATTGTCATTTTGCCTATCTTTGTAAATGTTTGTGAATGTTTTAAAACCATTTTTTGATACCCAGCAGAACCTTAATTTTTCATCATTATTTACATTAGGTATTGTCATTAAAATGATGTAAAAGTTAATGTTTTACTTGTTATTTAAAGTTAAAAAACATATCTGTACAGTGTAATGTTTTTTTAGTATGACAACCATATTATGGCGCCTGGCACTCAAGCTCGTCTAGTATGCGAATGGCCTGAAGCCACTTTAGGCGACGTAGTGACCATAATACGCTACGACGCCACGCAAGGCTACTTGGTGCGAAATAACGCCCACCTGGATGAAATCTGGTTACCGGCCCATATTTTATCCAACTACAACCGGAAACCGTGGTCCTTCCGCTTCCGGAAACCTACCAGGAGATCCATCGACAACACCAACACACCGGATGTTATACCGGAAGGCCCTATACCGGAGTTTAGAGATAAACTGAAGGATTTGACCGTTCACGGTGGCACAAAAGTCGTTTTGAAGTGTAGGGTGAAGAACTGCGGTCCCAACAACAAGCAGAGCTGGAAGAAATTGGAACCCAACATGTGCGTATTGAGGAACGGGAGGTTTTTGTTGGGTGACAACGATGATGGTGTGGCTGTGTTGAACATAGACAACGCTAAGTTGAGTGATTCTGGGACTTACTCCTTCACTTTGACGAACGAATACGGAGCTACGAGTTGCTCGTGCATTTTGACCGTTTTGAACAATTTCCAGCCAATTAACGAACCGAAAATACAAGTTACGTCGTGCTCGAGCGTTGTATTAGAATGGGAAACAACTGATTACAACCAGTTTAACGTGGAATACTGCAAGCTAGGTACAGGGGAATGGATATTAGCCAATCAACAACCAGTTGCATCCTCGAGATTCCTGGTGGAGAATTTGACCCCCGGCGAAACGTACAGCTTCAGGGTTGCAGCTGCAGCTAACCAAGTGGTCAGTCTGCCCAGCGTTGCCGTCACACTGCCCGTAGCCGACAATTTGCGGTGGCAGCAAGAGCAATTCAAGAGGCGTTATGTGGAGTTGGAGGAGATCGATAGAGGGCGCTTTTCTGTGGTGCGATTGGCCAGGGATCGTGGTACCGGGGTGGAGGTGGCGTTGAAACAGGTGACGAGAAGAAAGCAACCGCATCACATAACGCAAGCCGAATATGCTGTTTTAGTGGGGATGCAGCATGTTAATGTTATTAGATCCTTGGCGCTTTTTGATAATGCTCCGCTGCCGGGGATAGACACCATAGTACTTGAGCTGTAAGTTTTATTATTTTATTTAATTATTGATTGTGTAGAATTTTCGAAGTAAAACTTCTTTGCTGTGCACCGGATCGCACATAAGTATAAATATAAAAAATGGGACAAATTTATAAAAAATTTAAATACAGCTGTAACTGCAGTGTTTCTGCTCAAAATAAAAAACGTAATAGAGGTTGTAGATTATTGTGCCAAGTTGATATTTTTAACTATATTATTTGTTTACAGTCTAAAAACAATTTAAAATATACACTGCGCGTCAAAATTAACGCATAACAAGTAAACAAAATTCTAAACTCTAAAACGCCTTTACCAAACTTTATTAAATTGTGTATAAAAATACTTCAAGTTATATCACAGTTTACGTGTTCGAGGGTTTTTCAAGAAAATATTTTTAAAGCCCTTTTGTTTAATAATATAAAACGCTGGAAAACAAACTTTTATAGGGAAATTTTTTTGAAGTAAATAAAAAATATGCTCTGAAAGACCGTATTTTTGTAAGTATACCCTGAAACATTAACGAAAATACAGCGAGAGACGTTTATAAAACGAGTTGCATATTATATTTTATCTACTCCTACATTGATGAGCTGTGACTTTATGGCGTTTTAGTCACGGGCTGAAGTTAACAACAGTGGATTTTGGACATTTTAGTCACGGGCTGTTAGCTTTATTATAAATTTAAAAAAAGTGAGGTTAAATTCGTCAAATTTGAAAAATTTATAAATCAAAATCCTATAGATAAAAATAATTTAACAAAAATCCTGCCTAAATGCACTTTTAATTTGTAATTATTTTATATTTTTTAAACTTTGACCTCCGATATGGATGGTTTTTCAAAAAAACGTAAAACATTTTTTGTAGAGCGTAAAATGTTCTACAAAAAAGTGCATGTCCATTAATGGCAGGTTATGAAGTTTTTATTATGTTAAAAAAAATTAAAATTTGAAGTATTATCATTTAGTTAAACGATATCGCAAAAAAAATGTTTTCCAAAATTGTTTTTAAACTAAACAAATAATTTAGATGATACCAAAGTAAAAAAAGGCAAAAAAGGCCAAATTTTGAAATTAAATTAAAAAATTCTAACTCTAAAACGCATTTACCAATATTTATAGAATTTTGTATAAAATACTTATATCTCAGTTTACGTGTTTGAGGGTTTTTCGAAAAAAAATTTAAAAAATTTTTAAAGCTCTTTTATTTAATAATTAAAAAAACGTTCGAAAAATAACTTTAAGGGAATTTTTTAAGTAAATAAAAAATATGCTGTTAAAGACCGTATTTTCGTAAGTATACCCTAAAAATTTTGTAAAAAAGTCGGTAAAAATGACCCCTTTTTTAATATTTTGCTGAAAAGTGGTCATTTTTGACGACTTTGAAGCGCTGTATTTTCGTTACTGTACAAAATTTTCAGGGTATACTAACAAAAATACGGTCTTTCACAAAATATTTTTTATTTACTTAAAAATAAATTTTCCTATAAAAGTTTTTTTTCGAGCATTTTTTATTATTAAATAAAAGGGCTTTAACCCCTTGAACCCTTAACAATTGGTAAAGGCGTTAGAATTTTTTTACTTATTATGCGTTAATTTTGACGTGCAGTTTAATATCGGAGGAGAATATTTGAAATAAATACATAATAAATCTTTTTTTTTAATTTTCTTTTTGTCTTTTTTTACTTTGGTATCCTCTAAATTATTTGTTTAGTTTTAAAACAATTTTGGAAAAAAAATTACTTATTATGCGTTAATTTTCACGGGCAGTGTATTTTAATGAATGGTTCAACGAAAAAATCGTAAAAAAACCTCTTTTGTAAAGCATAAATTTTCAAAAATATGTCTTCCATTTTATTGCATGACTATTAATTAGCAACTTGTGAATATTTTCTTATGAAATTAAAATGACATCAATATTTTTTTCAAAAGTTTAAAGTTTTTTAAAACATACACTTTTAAAAAATATTTTTTATTTAAGCATTTTTTTTGAATTATGGATCTTCTTTTGTTTTTTATATTAATCTTTATCTTTGTTGGTTGTTTTTTTTTGTTTGTCTGTTTAATAAAAAAAATTGTAGATAATAAACTGACATTTCCAAAAGTCTTTAATAAATAAAGGAGATAAAAAAAGGTTTATGTAAAAACAAAAAAACTTCGTGATTTGAAAACCAAAGCTAAAATGAAAAATATATTTATTAAGTTTTCCATTTTGAGTATTTAAAATATACCTACATAGTATAAATATAAAAATGGTAGGACAAATTTACAGAATTTTCAAAATTTAATTTTTTAAAATTTTAGTTTACAACAATTTTTAAATTCCAAGCTTAAGAACAGCTGAAATCTTTAAAAAAGTTCAAAAAACTCAAAAGTCTAAAAGTTTAAAAGTTCAAGATTTCAAAAGTTTAAAAACTACAAAAAAGCTCAAAAGCTTGATTGAGGACATATGTTTTATATTTCTCATAACATAGCTGATTTTTGCTACCTTGTTACTTTTCCTTATGTAACATATAACATACATAATGATTATGGATTAGAAACACTTTTAAAAAATATTTTTTATTTAAGCATTTGTTTTTGAATTATGGATCTTCTTTTGTTTTTATATTAACCTCTTTATCTTTGTTGGTTGTTTTTTTTGTTTGTCTGTTTAATAAAAAAATTGTAGATAATAAACTGACATTTTCAAAAGTCTTTAATAAATAAAGGAGATAAAAAAAGGTTTATGTAAAAACAAAAAAAGGTCGTGATTTGAAAACCAAAGCTAAAATGAAAAATATATTTATTAAGTTTTCCATTTTGATTATTTAAAATAAAAAAAAGGGTAGGACAAATTTACAAAATTTTCAAAATATATTTTTTTTAAATTTTAGTTTACAACAATTTTTAAATTCCAAGCTTAAGAACAGCTGAAAAGTTCAAGATTTCAAAAGCTTAAAAACTACAAAAAAGCTCAAAAGCTTGATTGAGGACATATTTTATATTTCTCATAACATAGCTGATTTTTGCTACCTTAGAATTGTCACTTTTTCTTATGTAACATACATAATGATTATGGATTAGAAACTAAACACGAATTTAATTAAATTTCCCAAAGAAGTTTTACTTTGGCTGTGTATAAGCGCGCAGTATTTAATCATCTAAATTGTTTTTAGTGTGAAAGGGCCACTTCTTTTCACGTTTATTTGCGAAAGGAGTGAATATACAGAAATGGAAGTTAAGAGTTATTTGAGACAGTTGATGTCAGCTTTATGTTGGCTTCACAAAAAGGATTTGGTCCATTTGGATGTAAAGGTACGTTTTCTGTGCTGTTTTTACTGGTCGATTACTCAGTGGCGTGGAAAAATCGATACCAAGACGCGTTACTGATTCACGGTGCTGTTCTGAGAGGTGATTTTTGGACTTTCTGTGAAACCTAATTTTTTTTTATATTCTTGTTAATTAGATCATAACTAAAATTTTAAGAGCAAAATAAAAAAAAATTGACGGTTAATTTTGTTTTAATTGGATGTTTATTAAAAATATGTATGCACACTTTCAATTCTCCAATTAAAACTTGCGATTTTATTTAAATATTATTATAACTTTTTAAATCAGATTAAAGATTAGTTAATTTCCTAAAAAAGGTCTATACATTTTTTATATCTTTTACTGTTTTGTTTTAATACACGTTTAAAGTTTTAATTTAAGGTTAAATGTAGTATACATTTATTAAACAATAATTCTAAGGGTGCAACATTTTATTTAGGGCCGATTTATTCATTTTTGATTTATTTGACGAATAATTTCTTTGGATACTAGATATTGCCAAGACATGAAAGTTATCGGCCCGATAAACTTTACTAAAGATGAATAAACCGGTCCTTAGTTAAATTTCATGAATTTCTTCGTAACTTTTACTACAATTTTTCATTTTTGTTTATAAAAAACACTTTAAAAAACTCAACAAAAATTATAGAATACGTATACTGAAAATGACAATTCAAACATCAAATAAATTTTTAATAGATCTAAGTTTCATGGCAACCTTTAAGGATATATTAATTAAGGGAACATAAATGTATACGTCAAAGGTCAGATTAAAAGTTTGAACGTTTATTGCAACAAAACAGTAAAATATATAAAAAAAAAATTGTAAAAACCTTTTTTTTTTTAGTTATGCAAATATTAAATATTTAAATTAAATCGCTAGTTTTAATTGGATAATTGAAAGAATGCATAATATTTTCAATAAACAGCCAATTAAAACAATTCAAACCGTCAAATTTTTTTTATTTTGCTATTAAAATTTTAGTTATGACCTAATTAACAAGAATATAAAAAAAATTAGGTTTCACAGAAAGTCCAAAAATCACCTCTCAGAACAGCACCGTGGCACCAATGTCCAAACTAGGTTGCATTAATTCAATTTTTTTCTATTTACTTAAAACTTTAAAAATAATTAAACTTTGAGACTAACCAATGCTGGTAATTAATTATATAATTTATTTTTTCATTTTCCAGTGTTGCCACATTGGTATTTTTGGAAATTAATTTATAAAATTCAACTAGTGTAACAAACCATGCCAACGTTATCTACAGATCAAAATAAGTCGATTTAACCCAAATTACCTATACTAAGTTGCTTCGTTTAGTCGTTAGAGGCCTTTAAAGTTTTAAAAAATAACTATTTTTTTAAATATCTTAAAAACGAATTAATGAATTTTGAATATTTTTCGAATGTAAGTTTTAACTGCCAATTAACGTCGTTTGGTGCTACACTCAGTTATCTTTAAAAATTAGAATAATCAGAAAAGCAAGGTTAGGTACTAATTTTCGCTTTTTTTTTACTGTTGCTCACTTTGTTTAAAAACTTTTTTGTCTCTTGTAAAAGTTGGATGAGCGGTTTAGCCAGAAAAAAATTATTTTGTAATGTCTGCATACATACTATCGATATATCGCGATAGTTACTATGTTTTATCCCGAAAATTATTGAACATATAAATCTAGAGATTCCTTTTCTGAAAATAGTTCAATTTGACTCAACGCAGTTGCTTCGTGTAGCAGATAAAAAGTGAAATACAGAGTGTTGATAATAGGTAAATGGTGTATAAAGAGGAGGGTTTTCGCATATTTTTTCGGTCACTTCCGGTTTCACAGGAAATGGGTCCAGGTTCAAAAAATTAAATATAAACCCCTGTATAAATTTTCATTCTCGGATTCTTAACATAATTCTAACAATGCATCTAGGCCACCTTGATGTAATATAAAAACAATAAGTAGGCGTAAACACTTTTAACAAATATTAAACGCCATGTATATAATTTGCTCATTGCCCAAGCAATATATGCGATAAACAACTTAAAGATGCATATTAATTGGTAATATTTTCTTTTCTCAGAGGTTTACATTTTTGACTGGGATAAGTTTCGCGATTTTTTGCGATTTTTTTGGTTAACAGTTTTTAGTAGTCTACATCTTTGTCTAATGAAAAATATATATTTTGGCTTGGCATTCGTTGGCCTTCCTATTTTTTTACTCTGCAAAACATAAAAAATTAAATATTCATGTTAATTACCTTATCAGTTCTTGCCAAAAGCAAAAACACGAATTTTCTATAATTTTATGTATCCAACACAACTAATTGATAGGTCTAATGCATAGATGACCGAAGGTATAGATAGCCGACTCTCGTTAGAAAATCGAAACAAAGTTAATTTAACAGCGGATATCACCGCCCGTGGCGCTGCAAGCAGATCCATTCTAGATAGCGACATCTATTGCCCAAGGGCTTTACCAACAGTTTAAACCGCCTGGAATCTACAGTGCGACATCTAGTGTGTGATATCTGTACTAAATTAAATTTCCTTGAATTTTAAAATTGTAAACCGTAAAAATTTTGTTTTATATACAAATCTGGCTCGAATGAAACTGACTAACAAATATATTTAAATCGGTTAATTTTTATTAAAGACTTTCAGAAATTAATTATTATATTGTGAGACAATGAGTCCTTATAAAAAAAATTTAATATTAAAACCATTGTCTAGAAATTTTAAACAAACATATTTAAATATGTTGTATTTTCAGATGTCCAATAAGATTTCGTAAGCTTTATTATAAAATTCACCCAATTTAAAAGAAAACAAAATTTAATATAATATTACTAAGGTTTGAAGTTTTCATGCTTATGTTGGTTTTCTCTTAAGATGTTTGCATTTTATAATGAATTCTATCAAATCCAATAGAAATACTTATTGGTAAGTTTCATACTAATCAGATTTGTATTTTAAACAAACTTCTCACAGTTTACAATTACAAAATTTAAGGCAATTTAAAAGTTCTTATATTAATCACTAAATGTAACATTGTAGATTACAGGAGGCGATATACAATAAATGTATTAATTAATAATGAGTTTGAAAAATCCTTGAATTAGGAAAATGTAATAAAACAAACAAATTATGATTTTAGATATTTTTTTAATGAAGTATATAAAAATAAAGTTTACAATTATAAAACAAAGCAAATAAGCATTAATGTCTAAACCAAAAAAATACTAATTTAGTTAACAATATTTTTTAAATTTTTAATAGCCTCCTTCTTCTTCTCGGACTCATTTTTTACCTATTTATAAGGCATTTTTTTATATATTGTATTGGTTATTTCTAAAGTTAACTAACTTACGTCAGGATCCTTAGGAAACGAGTGTAATACTGCCTCGTTACTTGTATTTCTACAATTAACAACAGCACATTTAAACACCATTGTAAAAAAGTCAAACTAACAAAATCGCACAAAAGGAAAACTTGTTTGTCTAGAACAAAGCTGGAACAAAACCTTCGGTCATCTATGAACACAACAATAATGGGGTCTCTAAAGTTTAAACGAAAAATTGACAAATTGTCAAATTGACAAAGATGCCACCTAAAAAAGCGTGTTATTTAAATTCTGCTGCTTCAGCGCTATAGTCGATCCTATCCGCAACTAATTTTAAGGTCTGAAAAGAAAGGGGGAGTGAGCATAGCATGGTCTAATGTCAGTTATATTATGTTTAAGACGACTTTTGCTTTTCACGGCCCTCTAAGCTATAAAAAAAAAAATCGCAAAAATCGTAGTTTTAATTAAAACGATTGCATTAAAAATAGACTTTCTTTTATAGATCTGATATTGGGCATTTATAAAAAAGTGTTCGTAGAGTATTTTCAAAAAGCAATTATGTTTTTACAAGTTTGAATATGTTTTTAATAAAACAATAGTGGAAAATTATACATTTTCAATAATGACTTATTGCAACCTAGTTTGGGCATAGGGCCCACAGTGCGTGGATTGCTTTCATCAAAATAAAGTGTTTTCCGTTTCGTCGTAGCCGGAAAACGTGATGATCGATCTCTCCAACCCGACCCCCGTCCTAAAACTCGTCGACTTCGGCGACTCGGTGAACACGTCCAAGAACGTCATCCTGCCTCCGGCGTGTCTGGAATTCGCGTCCCCGGAACTGGTCTTGGGGCAGCCCGTGGGAAGGCACACGGACTTCTGGGCGGCCGGAGTTTTCCTCTACGTCTTGCTCAGCGGGGTTTCCCCGTTTCTCGACGACTCCATGGAGGAGACCACCGCGAACATACTGAAGTGCGATTACTGCTTTCCGGAAGATTATTTCCGTGACATTTCCGATGAGGCCAAGGAGCTGATCGGGAAGTTGTTGGTGTTGGTGCCCTCGCAGAGATTGGATATGCAGGAGTGTCTCGAGTCTAGCTGGATAGCCGAGGTAAATATAACGAATGTCAAAAGATAACGTAACGAGGTTTTTTAAGACTATTACACTCATTACTTTATGGACCAATCAGATTTCAGAAAACGACTATTTAGGTGAAAAAATACCCGTTTATACGAGTTGCATGGCAAACAATTGTCAATGTTGACGTTTCTAATTTTAAAATAAAAATATAAAAAAATATGCGTTTTGGTCAAAAAAATCATACAGAAATTGAATCAGCAGTTTATTCTAATTTTTAAAAAAATTCGTGAAATATTCTTCCGAATACCACTCGTGATAAAATTTTCCCTGAAAAAAGTCTTGATTTTTATTTACTCAAGATTTTTCCTTGTAAATTTCGCTCGTGGCATTAATTTAAAACCACTCGCCTAGCGGCCCGTGGTCTTAAAAATTCGTATAAAAATCAAAAATTTAATCGGTAAAATTTTACCACTAGTGGTATTATATACGAAAAAATATCTTGTGATGTAAAAGAATCTCAGATCTACCAGGCAAAAAGGGGTAGGTCGTTATTTTTCAACGATTTTTTTTACAGTTTCTCCACCCGTATTTTTTCTTTTTGCTTAATTTTGTTTTGTTAACGTTAACTGCATACAAAAAAATTTAACAAATTAAATGAATTCGCAATTTTTTTTTTTAATTGTTTTTTCTAAAATTGATAATTTTTTTTCGTTTGAAGTTAAAAATATGAAGAACTTTTACCAAAAGTTCCGAGTTGGCTAAATTCGTTATTTCGGAATTATTATTTTTTAATGAAAATGCCATTTTGTAGTAAATTCGTGGTCCATCCCGAAAAATTTGGTTTTTTATCTAGGGTCATGAAACTGGGGTGACCTGTATGAAGTGTAATTTATTACTTTTTGACATATTTAACATATTTTTGACACTTCTGATTTCACCGGAAATGCTCTTAAGTAAGTAAATTAAATTATTAAACATTTTAGAGTAAAATGTATATTCTTAATATTTTGCATCTGTTACTTTTAAAAGATGTAAAAGTATACTTAAGTTAATTTTGGTTAAAATAATAAAAAGTAAGTATCACATTGTGTGATTCACATACCCAAAATTAATTGACCAAATGCACAAGAAACTTATAAAAACGCGATTTTAAAAAAATGTAAAACACAAACAATTCCCAAAAATTTTGGTCGGTTAACAGATCAGTAACGGAAATAAGTATTAAGCCTAAGAGGTCCAGAAACTAATGGGCAGATTTATTATGTTCAGAAATAACAAATTTTCATTTGATTTTATATTTTGCTTTTTTATTTATTGCCAAAAATTCCCTACAATGGCCACACTATGGGGCGGTTAGATATAACTTTTTATAATCGTTTCAAAATATTTGAATGATTTTATTTAGTAATTTTAAAACCAAAAAATGTTGAGGTATTACTTACACCCCTTTGATTCTAACCACCTCCATTATTATTTTTATTTTATTTCATAAAAAGTTTTAGCGTATGTTTTCATAGTAAAATAAAATGTTAATATTTACTTACCAGCAAAACAAACTAACGAACTGTCAATTCTGATACTTCTTTTAAACACAAACGTTTTAAAGCCTTCTTAATTTATTTACTTCTGTACACACTTGAAAACCTATTAATTAAGAGTTTGAAAGCGATATTATTAAAATTAATGCATTTTTTTTATTCGGTATTAAATTTAAAAAAAGGGGATTTCTTTTATCACCAACAAACCACCCTCTTTTATCTAAAATAATGGTTTTGGCATAAAGTATGTCTTTTCAATTTTTGAAAGCTCCTAAAAACCAGCATTGCAAACAATGAATAAAATTGTATTTTTTCCAGACTTACTTAGCCCAAAATGAAGCAGAAAAGCCAATTCAATGGCACTCTAGATATAGAAATAAAATGTAATTAAAAAAATTATTTGATCAAAAATTTACAAATGACAAATGTATTCAGAATTTTATTTTGAATCGAAATATGTAAAAATGCATAGGGTGTTTCATTAAAAAATAAGAAGTTAAGACCATTTCCGGTGAAGTGACAAAAATATCTTAAATATGTCAAAAAGTTCTTTTTTAAACTTTATAAAGGTCACTTACATTGACATTAAAAAAATAATAATTCTGAAACTTGAACTGAACTTGAAAAGAAAAAAATTTAAAGTAAAAAAAAACATGTGGCAATATCAATTTTTTTTTTTGCATTTTTTAGAAAACAATTTAACGATTGATGCATTTTTGGTCAAACTATCGCATTTTCAAGAAAAAATATCACTCGTAAAAATAGAAAAATCGATGTTTCTGTCCATTTTTCAAAAGTTTCATACGGGTGAGCAAAACAAATTTAAGCAAAAAGAAAAAATACGGGTCTTATCGATTTCGGTAGAGAAATTGTAAAAATAATTTCGTTAAGAAATAACGACCTACCCGTTGTGATTAAGCCATTTTGAGCCTCAAAATTTGAGGTCAAATTCAGATTGTAGATAATTTGAAGTAGAGGAAATTAAAGATTTTCGGTTTTTTAGGGTGGTTCCCCTGGAATAATCCCATCGAACCGTTTAAGGACTTTTATGCATCGCAGACATCCTATGAACGTACAGGCAACGCCATCTAGTCCAAACTACTACAATGAACATTTATTTTAGACAAAAACAATTCGCATTACCCATTATATCGTGTAATTTTAGTTATTTAGGCGACAATTTATGTTATAATGTGATATTATTTTTTATTAAATTTTATTTTTTCACTCTTACACCTAAACAAAGAGTCGATAATCCGTTTTTACGTATTTTTAGGTGTTTTATTTCAATCAGCTACGGAAAAATATTTTATTTATTTAGTTTCGATTTTTAACTCAAGCTTTTTAGTGTTTATATTTGAAATGTATGTATAAAATAGTTATTTTATTGAATTGTGTTTCGACTGTTAATTTATTGATACGTATATATATTTGTAAATATTAAGAAATATACTATTTTGCATTTTATTTTTTAGTTTTAATTTTTCCTTCACATACCTATATCAAAAATTGAGTTGGGTTTTAAATAAATATTTTTGCTAACATAATAATATTATTATGCAAGTTTATAAAACAAATAACGAGCGAGTGTTTAGAAAAGTTTCTAAATGAGTTGCATACTATACTTTATCTACGACGAACATTTGTTAAAGATTTGACATCTGTCACATTTTAAGGGATTTAACCTAAACTTTTCCTAAAGCTAACTTCAGCCCGTGACTAAAATGCCCAAATGCCACTATTGCCAACTTCAGCCCGTGACTAAAACACCATAAAGTCACAGTTTAACAAATATTAAAATTTTAAAATCTTATACAGTTTCTTTACTTAAAACAACTTACAGGATTAAATTTAAACATCATATGATTTTATAATTATTTCCTAAAATTTTCTTTGCATTCAGAGACTAAAAAAAGTTTATAGTGTTTTTCAAGTCTTAATCGGAAAATTTATTAGTCAATAAAACTTGCAAAAATAAGGTAAAGTTTATATGAACTTGTATGCTTTAAATAAAAAAGTATGGTCGTGCTCCTGCTTTTTTATGAGTTTAATATCAATATAAGCAATTAAAAGTACATTTTTCAATACAATTTTTCGTCTTTTTTAATCTTTCATAATTTTTAAGAAAAAAATTAAATCTGTTGGACTATAATTTTTCCAGGAGTGAGCAAATAAACAAATTTTATTTGAATTTTGTATTTTTAATTTCTTAAAATAAAAGTTAAAACTTATAATTTTTAAACCAGTACATTTCCCAAATTTTATATTTAAATATCTAGATATCCCAGCTGGGGAAATGTTTTAATAAATTGGGCCAAGAAGTTTTTGAAATTTTGGAAAAAGAAAATATTTTTTAGATACATTAAAACTTCACCTTATATTGCTTTGTATGGGTATTTTTTATTTGAAGTCGGTTAAATAAAGCCTATTAACTAACATCAAACACAAATCTTTTAAAATCAAAAATCGTTAAAACTTTGTTATTCCTGGGAATTTTAAAACAAAGTAAGTTTTACATGTAAACCTACACATTATAATGATTATAATCTAGGTACATCCAATTTCTTTGCTACTTTGTTCAGCATTTTTTGTTTTTATAATGGCCGCTATAATTTATGTAAGTAGTTTGATACATCGTGGGATTCCTTTTTTTCTTCTATCTAACTAAGTAAAATTCCAATATGGCGTCCATAGGAAAAACAAAGGATGGTAGTGGTATCTCAAAATCAAGTTTGTAAAAAATATCACAAATTGGATGAAAATGTAGATAAATGTGTATGTTTACATGCAAAAATAACTTTGTTTCAAAATTTTCAGAAATAACAAAGATATAACGATTTTTGGTTTTAACAGGTTTCCAGTTTTTTCAAAGTATTTTTTTCCAATTTTTAAATGCCATTTTAATAGACTTTTAATTACGCAACTCTGTCTAATTTAACCGACCTTATAGCTCTTCAATTAAAAAATATACCCATGCATCCAAAAATTTAAAGGGAGTTCTAAATCGCAAAATTCGAGTTTTCAATATCGTGGTTTTTAACCAGGATGACCATTTTTGTAAAATTAATTTAACTGGAATTTGAAATGGAGGACGATGTCATTATTATTTTTTATTTACCATGTAAACAAACGGTAATTTTGGCCAAAATACCATGTAATGATAATTTTGTAGATATTCAACCTAATTTCATCATAAAATATGCAAACTCGAAATTGGTACATAGACTATGTAACATAGTTGCTAATAGGGATTAAACAACCAGTCGATTTCACAAGAGCAACGCAAAATTAATTATATTAATCAGTAAATTACCGCATATGGGATTTATTTCTGACCGGATGGAAATTTCCTATGAGCACGCTAGATTATCGACCAAACTGAATGGACTGGTTCAAGTTCCTTTAATTAAGATAACAAGAAAAAATATGCAGTCAATACTTACCATATTAAAGCCGTTTTTACTATACAGGGTGTCCGCAAATCAACCCGACATAACTATATTAGATAGATGCCTCAAGAAATATATCAGGAATAGGACTTAACAAAGAAAAGTTACTTCTTAAGATCTTAATTAGGGAGAAGGTGCCATATGTTCCTTAATTAAAGCACGTGCGTTAAACCGGGAAAAGTTACAAGGTAAACTCGTGATAGGGAAAGAGAGAGAGGGAGAGATAGAGTGGATTCACTGGAAAATTTTAAGTCGGCTAACTTGCCATATAAAAGCAGATAAGTGGATAAGGAAGGCAGGATGGGAAAGAGAATCATTACAAAGCTGGATCGAATTTAAGAAAAGAATAAAGTAAGGAAAGGTGGAATATTCCACTTAGTTTTAAAAGAAACAGAAGAAGGTAGCCAAACTGCTACCTCTATGGGGCGCCGTTATATTTTTATTCAGGAATTATTTTTATGTGTTAACAATATTTAGTGATATTTTCAATAAGATAAAAAATCGATAAAATTTTTTATGCGAACTAATAATATCATAGCAGATATTTTTAATTTAGTTAATTTAAAATATCTCTTTGTATATTTGTATTTTTAAATTCGCTTAATTAAAAATTTAATTTAATTTTTATGCCAAACTGATATTTTTTATTTTGTATTTTAAAATATTTGCTTCTTGTTTTTGTATTTTTTGCCAAACACATATTTTTAATTCGCTAAATTAAAAATATTATAGGAGAATTTAAATGTACATATTATAAATATCATAGGAGATTTGATTTAATTTTTATTTTATTAAATAAGTAGATATTTTTAATTCTGATACCCCTGTTATTCTAAACGCCACAAAAACCGACCCACTCCAACTGTTGGAGCAGTATTTTATCTGTGTTGGAGTCCAACAACAAACTTACGTGCACTTATAGTGGCAGCGCATGAAACCATAGATAGGCAACCAACATACAACTAGGGATTTTGATTCCTATTTGCTGGACAATCCACCCGCTATATTTAAATTTTTGTTAAGATTGTTTAAATATATTAACTGTTACCTATGTAAACAAAAATACAAAATATACAAATTCATCATTTACCAAAAATCAACAATCTGTAGGATTGTGTTGTTAAATTTAAGGTATTTGCCCATTTAGTGTTAGTAACACTGTGTTACTACTAGTAACACTAAATGGACATTACCTGCTGACTATAAAACCATTGATTTACTTAACAATTACACCATATCATCTGTGACCATATTGGTTGGCAAAACTTACGTACCATTTAAATCAAAAATTTATAGCAGAAATAAACAAATTAATTTAATATATTATAATATTGCACACAGCAATACATCTTAACCATGCTCTTGAGTGGGAATTAAACTTGGATTGTTTTTCACCAGTAGGTACTTTTCCACCATTAATATCTTATTCTTAAAATATATAGGACTAAATACACTTACCTGGATTTTTAATCTTGTGCAGTTGCATGAATTGTTTTTGGAAAATTCCATGTGTAATTAGGTAGCAATTTACCCAGTTAAGTATAAAAACAATAATTATTGTATTATGACAATATAACGTTATCTAACTTTAACCACAGAAGAACCACACACAGAAGAATAATTTATAATTCAGAAGAACAATTAATAATTCAATAAGTTTAATTTCGCGAAAAAATAGTAAGTAACTAAACAAATATTAAAAGAGTTGCCAACATAAAATTGGTATTTTTTATTTTGCCAACTATCTAAAAGATAATTTATTTAAAAAGCTATTAATTAATTTGTATTAACTAATTATATAACATGTATTATAAAAATATCAGTTTGGCATAAAAATTAAATTTTAATTTTAAATATCTACCTACTTTGATATTTTTAATTCGCAGAATAAAAATTCTTAAATGATATTTTTTATCCAATTGAAAATATCACTTTAGTGTTAACACATAAGAATAATTCCTAAATAAAAAATAAAAAGTTCATGGAACATAATTTGAAGGTAATTTTATCCTCTTTGCTCGTGAATTAAAAGAATAGCGAGTTATTTAATAAAATCACCCCTTCAAACAAAGATGGCGGAGGAAGCAACCACCCAACTTGTTTTGAACTTTTGGGTTTTTCAGAAAGATTTGTAAGAAACTGCGTCAAAATTTACCTTTTATTATTTTTTTTCAATGCTAGAATGACGGCTAAAAAGGATGAAAACCAATTTTAATTTCTTGATACAAAACAAGATCGATGGCTTTCTTAATTAATTAAACTCCATTAAGACTAGAATTACCAATTTATCAGAAACAACAAAACATAACAAAAGCCAAACGTTTTTATAGATCATACGAACTGAAATTTTATTGCAGCAAAAATAAAAACTCTGGCAGTAGCAAATCGCACGAATCGAAAAGTCCCTCTACTCCACTGGAGTGAATAAATACCCCCCATTTCCTACCCCCTCGGCCGGGAGGGGGGTTGTTGGGGACGGAGAATGGAAGCAGACTGGTTGGGTCACAAATCCCGGGGGGGGCTAAGCGGCGAAGGAGGGGAAAGGGGGGATGGGCCCTCTAATCATTTTACACAGCTCCGAAATGCTAACTGGAACGTTACGGGGACCGTACTGGATTTTACGAGGTCACGATTTATACGGGATGAAGGAAAAACGGGGGTTGGATTATTGATAAGGTGTTAAAATAAATATTGCCGAAATACAGGCAGTAAAATCGTTTTAGTGAAAAAAACAAAGGGCCCATATATGGCCAAATAAAATATATTCACTATTAAAAAATTAAAATGTTAAATATTTAAAAAAGTACAAAAAATAATATATCCAATAAAAAAATTATTTAAATTTTTGATTTATCATGATTTTTTTAGTTTTTTGCATTTTTTTATTATGTTTTATTTATAAAACGATCCATGAAATAAAATCTCAAAAATAAACTAAAAAAGTTAAAACTTGGTGGGAAAAACTTAAAAATAAAATAATTGAAAATATTTTATTGTTTAAATTAATAAATTTATATCACGGGAAAAAATTACAGGTAGTTTTTAAGTTCGTATTTATAATTTTTCTACTACCACCTTTAAAACGCCCATCATCGTACATGTTTTCATGACATACAAATTGACAAGTTGTGGCTTTATGGCGTTTTAGTCACGGGCTGAAGTTAGCAACAGGTTTTTAGTCACGTGCTGAAGTTAGTTGACAGTTGTAAAATGTCATACAATCGTTAAATTAAGTGCCTCTCTTGTAAATTAATACTAAATGTAAAAATTATTTTATTACCTGAAAACAAAAATACAAAAGTACTAAATAGCCAATAATTAAAAAGTTTATATGAACATTGTACCTTTCAATTTTGCCGGCAGTAAACTAGAATTAACTTAATCTCGGGTGGAGTCTCTCCACCATGAAGTGCCCATGAAACATTTTCTTCACTTTCACTGTGAAAAACTGTTGATAGTTTTTAAGGATATTTACACATACAAATTTCACTATTTTCAACAACGCAGATTCCCAAGGTGGTTACTCTATTGTTTTGTAGATGTCGCTCTATACAAATATTTAATTTAAATCATTTTTAGATGATAATTTATTTATTTATTTATTTATTAAATATAACACTGCATCATAGTTTAACAAAACAGTTTTATAACTGGTACCGTCAAAACCATATTAATTTTATAATCGTCCATTTCATTTTATAATTCTTATTATTTTCAATAAACATTTTCACATATCCATTATAAAAACTTTGCTTTAAAATAACTTAAATTTATATTTTTGTACAGAAAATTTTGATTGATGTTTCTGACATTTAGATATAATACAATATAATAAGTATTTGTCGTAGAAAAAGTATGGTAGGCCACTCGTTTATGTTTTAGTATAAGTTTTTCTAGACGCTCGTGCCTGAATTAAATCCGTGTCTAAAATCAAACTTGAATATACTATTAATGTTCAGTACAAGTTTGATAAACAACATTTTAGTTGCAAGTTTAAATTAAAGAAGATTATTAAAGGAGTAAAACGACAAACACACAAATTAAACTTTTCAAAAATAAATAAAATCTGACATCTGTCAGACCGTTCTAACCTCACTCTCTATTCGTTTTATTTTGACGATTGAGTGAAATTTGATGACTGCAACTAACTTCAGCCTGTGACTAAAACGCCATAAAGTCGCAGCTTGTCAATATGTAAAAAAACTTTTTCAGTTTGCGACGCACTCACGTTTGATTATTTTTTATGCGTTTTTAAAAGGGTTTGAGGGTTCTTTTATAAGGGATACATATGGGATCGTATGGGATACATATGGGATCCAAAAAGTTTTCGTTAAAACCTATTAAAAATTAATCAAAATTATATTTAAAAATACCTAAAATTTAATAAAATCCATTTGTTTAAAAAAATATATTTACTAAAAAAGCAATATAAAACAAAAATAAAAATGTGCATTACAAGAAAGCTGTTTTAAATTTTTTACGGATTTCTACAATTTTATAAATGTTTATAGTTAAGCTTGGTTTACAAAATTTATTTAATAGGCTATATAAAATTAGAGAAACAAAAAATTTAAGCGGAATGTTGAACGTATAAAATTGATCAAAATCAAATTCAATACATATTTTAAAAAATTAAATTATCCGATTAAGTAATTTTTATTTTCTTGACATTTTGCCCATCAAGGTCGAGCCTCGTGCTCAAAAGGGCCGCCAGCACCTCGATGCGGTCCTGGATTTAACCCCAAGAGAAAGAAAAGCCGAAACGGATCAATAGAGCCTGAAAATAGGCCGGGCTAACAGCGCCTGTTGCCAGGCAACCCATTTTACTGACGTGACACACTGACACCCTGAATTATATAACTGCCAGCGGCCGACTGCCGCTCCACAGGAAGACAGCTTTACAAACAAATATTTAATATATTTTAATTATATATCAATAAAAAACAATGGTACTGTTTTGCAAAATAAAAATATTTTCAAACCAAACGTCCTTGCACTTTCAGTAGAAAAGTAAATGTGAATTGATGAATTGGCGACGATATTTGGACATTTTTGAAAATTGTCCCACTGTGCCTTGGGAAAACCCAACGCAAACCCATTCGGCGCGACTCGGAAAATTCGGAAAAGTCCATTTTCTTTGTTTAGCAGGCTAAATGAATGCAAATTCGTGCGGATGAACTCCTATTTTTATGCGGTAGCATGAAACCTTACAAAGGTCTTTTCGCACGTTTAATAACCGTGTTTATGCTAAAGTACCTAATGTTTTACATGGAAACTTGCATTTAATTAATTTTTTCTACTCCCACCTTTAAAACGCCCTTTATCGTACATGTTTCCATGACACTAAGTAACCTTTTAAATACACATTGGCAAGTTGTTGCTTTATGGCGCTTTAGTCACGGGCTAAAGTTAGCGACAGGTTTTTAGTCATACAATCGTTAAAATAATGTGCATTTCTTGTAAAATAATACTAAATGTGAAAATTATTTTATTATCTCAATACAAAAATACAAAAGTATTAAATAGTTTCTCAAAGCCAATATTTGAAAAGTTTATATGAACATTTCGCCGGCAGTAAACTATAACTTAAATTCGGGCACGGACTCCACTGTAAAGTGCTCATAAAACATTTTCTTTACTTTCACTGTGAAAAACTGTCAATTTTCAAGAAATACATTTGGATTTATAACCTTTATAATTGTGTTTATAAAATGTAAAAATTTGACATTTGACGGTGACACACAGATTGTTTTGATTTAAATCATTTTAAGATAATAATAAGTATTTGTCGTAGAAAAAGTATAGTATGCACCTCATTTATAAACTTTTCTATACACTCATTAATTTAAGCACTCGCTCGCAAGCTCGCTCGTGCCTAAATTAAATTCGTGTATAAAATGGCGTTTATCAAACTTGATACATAATATACTATTAACGGTATTTTTGTATGAAATTCTATGATAAAATTTTTTACTTCAGCTTTTTAGCTTTTTCTTTTAAATACACATTAAAGTCATACAGTTGTCAAAATAAAGTGCCCTTTTTGTAAAATAAAAATAATACTAATGTGGAAATTATTTTACTAATTTCGCCGGCAGCAACTATAGTCGCCGCGGCGAATGTTTTCCGTTGCGTCATCAATTTTAAATATCATACGTTAAAAACTGCTTTTATAACTGATTTAATTGGTTGTTAGTTCATTTTCAAGGAACAAATTTTGATTTGAACAGGATAGAAAACCGCTTCAAAGAAGTTTTTTTAATAAAGAAAAACTATGTAGTTTGGTGAATATCAAAATAATTATAACTGCAGTTAAAATTTTTAAAAAATTTAAATTTAAGAGGAAAAGTTACAGAATAGACCCCAGGATAAACTGACACTGTCTTTTCAAAGCCGGTAAAACAGATTTCTAACATTATTTTGGCTACTCTAATTTCGTATAGATGTCGCTTTATAGATACAAATATTTAAAATTTATGGTAATAAATTATTTTTTTAACCGTATAACAATTTTCATATTATAACACTCATTAGCCTATATAAAAAGTCAAATTATTATACACCGCCGTACAATAATAAAAATACATTGAAATTACATATCAGCATGCAGGCACTGTGCATTTTTTAATTATCAATTTTGTTTTAATTTGGACCGTTTTTAATCACCCAAAACATTTTTTACATCTGTCATTTTTAACATCTGTAATTTTTGAATTTCTCGTTTTTGACATAATCATTTTGATATCCGTAATTTTTGTATCTGTCATTTTTACTTCTGTTATTTTAACATCTGTCATTTTTCACACGTGTTAGTGTAAGATAAATGTATGTATATAACCTATAATATAACATATTTCAAACATCAAACCTGACAAAATCTCGCAAACTTGACAATTTCACTGTAATTAATTATTAAACCCAAGCAGTATTTTAAGTAAAATATTACTTAATTTAAGTAAATATTTTGTTAAATTAACCTTAAAAATTTACTTTGAAGTAAAACTTTTTTTAAAGTTATTTAATAAGTTTTATTTATGTAATTTTTACCTATTTTAAGAACACTTTAAAGTATTATGGGGGACGTAATTTTTACGAAAGAAAATTACTTATAAGTGTATTTCACCTATAGGTTAAATTTTCCTTTATAAAGGAAAATTTAACGGTAATTTTAAAGTCATAATTTTTACTTAATGGTAAATTTTACTCATATATATGTCTTAATTTTACGATATTAAGACCACTTTATAACCGTAAATAATTCCTATTCGCCTGGTATTTTTTAGAGTTATTAGTGGTAATAAATACTATTAATATTAACTAAACATTCTCTAAATTTGGTAATTTTTCGTATCTATACCTTTATAAAACCGTTTTGGTTAACCGTAAGTAGTAAGTTAACTTAGTAGTAAATTTGTAGTTATTAA